GGTGGTAACCGAGAGGATTGAAGTAACGATAGCTTAAGTGGTTAGGGCAGCGGCGTATTTAGCCGAAGGTCATGGGTTCGAATCCCGCGCGTGACACTGATTTTTTTATCTCAACCAACACCCAAGAGTAATTAATTGATTGATAATTCTTTTTTTTTAAATCATCTCTCTCTCTCTCTCTCTCTCTCTCTCTCTCTCTCTTTCTCTCACTGAGCGACATTTACAACAGCTTATACAAGTGTTAGCAAAGTAAAATGTCCATTTCGATAATCTTGTAGCGAATTCAGCTAAATGCTCAAAAATAATACAGAATCAACTGTTTTTTTTTTTTTTTTTAGCAGTTCTCTTCTTGAGAACTCTCTGTTGAGACTAAATGAAAACTTCTATTAAAAATAATCAATGATAACTAGAGAGTGGGTGACGTAACAACTTTCCCATATACAAAACATTGCGTTTATTTCTACTATTCGCCAACCCACACATTCGACGAAAATTTAAGAGACGTGCGCCAAGCTGGCCGCCCATTTCTCAGAAATAACGGAGACGAGGGTGAAAAATTGATTTTGTATAACAATACAGTTTTTCCAGGGCTCATGGGGAAATTCGAATGATCCTGCATTAATCTTTCAAGGGGTTTGTGTAAACATTTCCAACGATGCTTTAATCAATTTATCGCTTCAGGAGAAAAAATGTTTAAGCAACAAAAAAAATCACTTTTTAAACTCTAATCACATAAAAGAATGAAAAATACTTTTAGAGCAGCAAATATCTATGTAAAAACTAATCGGGATCCTATAAGACTAACAACTTTTAAAAATCTTTGTTTTGTAAATAAACAAAATTTTGAATGTTATTTCAAATTTCATACAACGTTAGTATAAAAATTTCTTCATAAACTATTAAATAAATAGTTATAGAAGCTTGATACTTTACATTATGTACTTTACGGTATCTTTGATTATCTATCAAAAATTAAAGGACTTTTGAAAGTAGAAAAGATAAATGATGGTGTGAGTGTGTTGTTCAATCTTTTTAAAAAATAGTTCCTACTCACAGTTATTTTATTTTATTTTTTTAATAACATCAAATGACACTAAAATACAGTCGTTAGTTATACTGATGTTATTTAATTCCTGTATCAATTCTAAAGAATTGTTAATACCTAATGTATGTTTGAAATTGGTGTGTTTTAATTATTTTATCAATTGTAATTGCGTGTTTTTGGCATGGACAATTATAAAATTACATTACTGGTCGTACAGTTTTGTTTTCCTTGTGAATTTTGACCTTACCGAAAAACACTGGGGTTTCGGGGTTTTTTAGCTGCATATTGGTCATATATTAATAGAGAATAAAAAGTCACTAATTTTTATGGCTGTTTGAACTCTATTTAATTTTTATGTGGGGTTTTTTTATCCTTTACTCGTTATTGTTTAAAAATTCTTCAACTTTAGAAATAGTACTTTTGACTTTAAATGATAACTATCCTATTTCCTTTATCGGCTTCTAAAATAATGTTGTTGTTACTTTTTATCTCCTTATCAATAAATCTAATTTTACGTGGAATTTAATTTTTGACATTTAGATTTAATAAGTTTTAAAGTACTAAGTTTTAAACTATACTAAGTTTTGTTTAATTAATTTAGTACATTCATATTTTATAGTTCTATTTACGTTACAACCAGCTATCGATGAACCAAAGGATAGTAGTTTTTTGTATTTAATTTTGTTTCTGGAACAAATTTTAAGTCTTTATTTCATAAATTGTTTTTTTCTTTATTTAGTTCCATGTTTGTTAAGTTTATAACCCTTGGATAAAATTGAATTGCAGTTTTTTTTGTCTTTATGAGTATTTTTATTTTTAAGTATACCGTACTTGTTTTTAATATTGATATCCAATATCCTTTTTTTCATCAACGATAAATTTAACTTTTGATCGCGTATCATAATCGAATTTATCCCATTCTACTGGAGACAATAATGAGGCAAACCTAATGTGTAAAGGACATTGATAAAAAGGTTTTGTATCTCTTTGACTGAACAATTCCTGTAATTCATTATTTAATATGGATTTTTGGCATTTACATTATTAGAGAGTTGAACAGTTTTTAATATTTAATTTGACAAAAAAGAATTTTGGGGTTAGGATTAATTTCAAATATTGGGAATTGAACCAGATTGATATGTTGATTTTTGAGCATGAAAGTTTTAAGAGTTTTTGTTTGCTGGCTGATTTTAAGTGAGTGGAGGTAGTATCATTAATTGTGTTATAACCGTTACTGTATTGACTATCAAATTAATATAAACGATAAATGGTGAAGTGAGTGTGTTGTTCAGTCTTCAGAATTCAGTTAATTGTGAGGAACTATCTTTTTAAAAAGGTTAGGGAATTATGTCAGTTTGCTTGCACTGAACCTGCACATATCATTCAAAGAAAATACGTAATCTTTTTAAGTGAAGTTGAGTTTAAAAAAACGCATTTTGTTGGTTTATGAAAATCATGATTTTGATCGTAAAGAAATTGTAAGTCCGTAAATAGCATCCGTGGGAAAACACAGACGTAAAAAAATTTCTTCACCCTTTTATTTGCCTTTCGCAAGCCAGCCTCTTTTGAATAAACATGCAATGTTGCAACCAATTAAGTCAAAAAGACACCTGTGCTCTCAATTGGAAACACACCGGTCCACAGTTAAATCGTGGCTTTTTATAGTTCTCAGCTGTCGGGTTTTCTCACACCTCACATTTACAATCGTTGAACAAATTCTCGGCCATTTATTTGCATAACGTGCAAGGTTGCGACGGTAGAGAATGACCATTTACAATTTTCTTTATATTTGACTCATTAAATGATTTATTACTAGCGAAACGTATAAATTATTATTATTTACAATAAATGGTCCGGGCTAATAATTTATAATACGGGTGCAATTTTTATGCAGTTGAATTTCTCTACTAAGAAACGTGATTTACCGTTTATAAAAAAGATCAAATATATTAAAATAGTTCTACGATTTTAAAAAAGCGTAACGTTGCACCACTATAAATTAAAGCATTAAAGCGTTATTGCCAACTTTTTTATAGAAAATAAAATAGAAAAACCGCAAAATATTTTCCTTTTATTTTATCGGCTATACAAAATTAGCGTGAATGTATAAGCTTTTTTTTGTTTTTAACTATTTTATGAAAATGTATTTACGCATTTGTATACGCCGATTCCAACAAGCCTAGCTTTATAACGAATACAACAACGTGATAATGTTAATTTTAAGTCTATCGTCAAAAAATTTCCAGCAATGCCTTCATTAAATGAATTCCTTTGCGATAGGTTAAAATTTTGTTGAAAATGTTCAATCCTCCCCACCCAAGCACGGCATTGAAAGTTGTGTATTACTAATTCAGGAACACGACTCTTCAAATAACATTACAAATGTATGGGCATCGTGAATTTTTATTTTTTCGAAATTTACTCTCACGAAAGCAATACATAAATGAGGAATTCGTCAGGTCTAAAATATAATGCAGTCCATTAATCAATCGTTAAGTTCAAAATTAATGATAAACGAGAATGCAAAATGAACGAAATGAATTATACAAAAAACATTTCTTTCCTATTGGCATAACAAAAGTCTATGTCCTAACTAACTCACACAATTAATTTTTGAAATTGGATGTCAATGAAATTCAAAAAGAATTGAGCACAAAAGCAGTGTAGGAAATTAAATAAACACTATTTTCATTAAAATAATTTAGTTTTTCCTCAATTGATGTTTTTACAAACTCCTTAAATTGATTTATTTTTAATTTTTTATATTTTTCCTTTACTTTATAAAAAATTGGCATTTTGTGGGAGTTGCTATGTTTAAAAAAATCCGTATTAGCAAATCTTTTATCGCCCACTTATATTACAATTTTTCTATGAAAACTTAGTTATGAATACAGTATAAGAGGAAAGTTTAATTGCGTTTATATGATGAAACAGGTGTTTTTGCACTTGATTAATTAACCAATTGTAAAATATTTTTTCATTGTTTACGGGTTCATCTATGCAAGTAGAAAATTTTACAATTTAACCATTTTGTTAAAATTAAGAAAATCCTTTTACAGATGAAAGATTTCTTTTTAATAGTACTTTTCTTAACTTGTTTTTAAATAAAAAGCACAATATTGCGATATTTCGACAATTCTGTGCCATTTTCAAGACATATTTTATTGTTTATTATTGCACTTTCTTATTAACTTCGTAAAAACAATTTAAATAAAAAGTTATTTCAACAAAAATGTGAAGAAACTGAATAAACTGAAACGTTGCAGAATCATGATTTTATTTAAAAACCACACTTTCAAGAAAGGCCTACCAATTTTTTTTTTTTTCATTTATAAAAAGAAAAATAAGGGCAACAATAACAAAAAAAGAAGAATAAAGTCCTTTAACTTTTTTGTTTGTTTTAGTGGTCACTCATGTGATCGGCATTATTGGATAAATTTTGAGAATTTTTGGTTCGTTTCTGATCATTTTGGTCTGCTCATCTGTCAAATCAAAACAGGGTAGAAATGGAGACCCAAATGACTAGAAATGACAAAATTACATTATTCAAATTGATAACAAAAATTAATTGCACATTTTTAAAAAATACAAAATATACGCCGTGTTTATACGGTTAAAAGAAAAAAAAATATTTTGTATAAACGAGAACGAAAACAAGAAAATATTCAATCAAGTTGTTGTTTTTTTTTCTTTGTAATTTTGAATAAATCATGGCATTTCTGAGTAGAAAATTTATAATGATTACAGAAAATTCGTCTAGGAGTATTTAAATTTGATATCCTATAAATTAAAACGGTTCTTGTGCATTTTCTTAAAACAATATTGTTAAATTAAACTCAATAGAAAAAAAAACGGGTCTTCGAAAACGACTATTTTCTTTGTTTCTTTTTAGGTACATTATTTTTTTATTTTTTTTTTTTTGCCTTCTGTTAAAACGAAAATTCTGATGACGTACCTAAAAAGTGTACGGGCGGAGGTCTTGTCAATTAATTTTCATTTAGCCCTCGCTCATTTGCCGTATGCGACGAACACGTGGCCGGGATCGTGCGTGAGTTTCGATTCGGAGCGGGTGGAAAAGCGGGTGGGTTGCGCCGAGGAGGACGTCCGCCCGATACTAAGCGGACCCAGCCACCGACAGCCCTTATGAACCTTCTGGGCCACCCCCGGCGCAAGCGCCAACCCCCGACAATTAATACCTTTCTTGTCAACTTACTTCTTCACTTATGGCATAGAGGCTATCGTGAATATCAAATGAATATCCTCAAATTTTCAACAGTCTGTTACCTTCCTAAACTTTATTTTATAACATAAATTTAACTTTTCCTAAATTAAACGATATACTATTTTTGAAAATAATGCAAACAAAATAAGCTAAAAAGTTATTAGTATAAAACCATACTCACATTAGTAAGAAACTGGAGAAATGAAAACTTTGGAAAAGAACCCAAGTCAAAAACAACACCAAACAAATTCCCTTACTGATCCGCTAATCTTCCGGTTTAAACACAACGACAAAGTCTACAACAACAGAACCAGCTAAGGATAGTTTCAAGCCGAAACATTCTGAGCGGAGGTCAAACCAGTTTTATTAGTCCCAAAAATAATCAATTACTACCACACTGTGTTCAACCGCCTCTCCAACCGCCAAGATAAATTTGGTTAAAAAACCTACGGAAGATACTTAAACAATGTTAATTCATACATAAATTATTTTTCAAAATAATTTCATTTGATTTGCACCCGATAAACACAAAATAACAGAAGGGCTTACTGATGGTGTGAAGATGGGGAAAAACCTGTCCAGGGAACAAACACTACAGTTGGATCTAAAAATTAACAAACAGACCAGAATTTCAATAAAAAATAAAAATAAGAAAGTTATATGACTGCGTGCAACCTGATTTTGGCAAGAAACCATCTTATGAAGGTCCTTTTGGCATAGAATCGCAGACATAACAAGCTTTATTTTACAAGTGCACGTCCAGTACGTGAGTGATCTTTTTCCCATAAAGATGTGTGTTATTTGGTGACCGGTTGACCAATAATTTGTTGAAGAAGTGAAGTGTGAAATGAAGAATAATAGAAAAGCACTTATTTCATTTTTTTGCAGACGTTTCGACTTTTATTCAGGTCATCTTCAAGCATAAAGTGTGGTCTATTCTTGTGGTGTCATGAAATTATTGTCACACATAAAAATTACACACAAAACAAACATGACAAGAATAGCACCACACTGCACCGAAGATGACCCAAATAAAGGTCGAAACATCGGCAAAAAAATAAAAAAGGTGCTTTTCTAAAATGCAAACAAAATGCATCCTGACAAATCCTGACCGCCCATCACTACTTCAACAAATTATTGAACAACCGGTCGCCAAAGAACACACATTTTCATGAAAAAAATTCACTCCATTGCTCATCTTGTAGTTTGTGAAATAGAACTCGTTATGTCAGCGATTCTCTACCAAAAGAACCTACCTAAGATTGCTTCTTGCCAAAATCAGGTTGCACGCAGTCAATTAACTTTTTTATTTTATTTTAATTTTAGCATTATATGGTTCGGCCTGAAAAGATTTTCATTCCCTTAAAAATTTTATAACCTATAGTAGTACTTATAGTACTACTATAGGTTATAAGCTACATCCAAGCCGAGCAATAAAAGAATGAGATACATAAAACAAAAAATTCTATTGTTCAAGAAAAACAACCTTCAAGTTTTCAAACAATTTTACTTATATTTCCACATAAATCTCCCAAGCTTTAAAAAAAATTTATTTTATCTAAGACTCGATATGAACACGATTTGCTAAACATTGTTTGAAACCAAAACGGTTTATTACGGATCAAACAGATAGATTAAGCGAACTCAAATGTGATCAATTTAACGATTAAACAGTTGATACTGGCTTTTCAATCAACGCAATCCATCAAAATACGCATTGGTTAAGGCGCAATACATTGAAATCATAATAATTATAAATATTTGTTAATTGTCGGTGAGATAACGTTTGATGTAGCATGAAACGGTGATTTTTACAGTTTACAGCTTTTACGGTTTAACAATAAAAGACCAATAGGTAATTTCTACAAATGTAGATGGGCACAAAAACGAACATACAGCTATCACGTCAGAAGGTCAAGTTCCATCAAAGCACTAAGTTCAAACATTGATAGCTAATCATACTGAATTGCAAAACTAAAATAAATAGATTATAAAAGTAAAACAAAGTCACCATCTACTGGGTTTCAGGACATGTAGGAGTAAATAGGATTCTCAACATGACACTAGAGACTGAATGGGCATCTGAAGATGATTGGTATATCCCATCAGGGTATGTATAGTTTCTGCCAAAAAGCATAAGTGGCAACAATTTGCCAGTAGAAGGAAGTTTTCGAGATGTACATAGAAGAAATTCAAGCACTGAAACCGGTCCTACTGATCAAATTCCTTGAGGAACTAGGACTCACCGGTGTGCTGGAAGTACAGAACATAAATGTAATTTTTTTTTTGTGGTGGGCAGCGAACGTCTAATTCAAGGCAATTCTCATACCCGACAAAGAGCGCGAAGAGGCACCGGGGAGTGTGCTTAGGCTTAGGAAAAAGTGCACTTTTCAAAACATAGTTATAATATGTAGGGCTTCCTGATATAAGTCGCAGTAGAGGAAAGAATTTTTAAAATCAACACCCCATAAACGTCAAAAAAACGCCTGGATGTCAAGTTTATTATTCAATACAAATATGTTCGGTACCCTTCAGTAATTTCAAAACTTGGTCTAAAGTAGGATTTTGACCTACTTTCATCACACTGTCTATGAAGGGTCACCTTTTGAACTGTTACACGTTGCCTTACCAAGTGAATGTACCGTAACCAGACTAATGCTTTATATTCACAACGGATATGACCAAGAGTCTTTGGTTCCTCTTTATAAAGTGTGCATGCTTTTGTCTCTGCTTTACCCATCTCCTTTAAGTGGTAGTTAAGACGGCAGATGCCGGTAAATAGGCCTGTAATTTCTTCTGCTGAGAGGAGCAGAAGTTGATGTAGATGTCTGTCTGCGCCAGCACATGTTAAAACAAATAACGTACTAGGTCCGTCTACACTCGCGGCTTAGGGAGCTACTTAAACACGTTTCGTCATTGCGCTATCTTCAGTGAGGAACTGCCAAAACGCGAATAGACGCATCGAAACTGGAGTGAATACCCATATGACCCAATGTTGGTTTCAAATTTTTGAACTGTACTTGCTCATACCCCCACAGAACTTAGAAATCACTTAAGTAGATAATGCACATCTGGAAAATTTCAAAATTTGTATTTCGTTGTAACTCCAACACTCACTTAATTTTGTGTGAGTAAAGCTTTGAAATATGTAGCGAAGCATAGACGATCGCATATCCGATGAAAGTTTCATTATTCAGCTTTGATTCTGATTTCAGCTCTGAACGATGTAATCAAATGAAAAAGCAAAATTTCAATTACAATTTTTTCTTGCAACTTTTTTTATTACATATATTTTATTTTTACAACTTCAAATGTAAAGAACATTAATAAGTTGTTTAATTACTCATGTTTTGAAAGCCTTCAGATTTTAAACTGAGTCGCAATATGCATTGTGTGTTACAAAATCTGTGATGGGCGCAAATAGCTAGAATAAGCGGACCCAAATATGATCAATAACGATAAAGCAGGGGACACAACTCGTTCATCAATCATGCACACGAATCAAATAAAGACAAAGTTGGAAAAAAACTTATTCCCATAGGTGTAGAGTAAATAATTTTCTTTAAACTAAGCTATGTTTAAAAATCAGCTCATAGTATAATCCAAAATGTAAAACACTAATGATTTTATGGTTTAAACTGTCAAGCCTAAAAGAATTTATTCTCGAACGGGGGATTTGTAAGTTTCACCTTTATAAAAAATTTAATGTAAAAAATGATACTGAAAGTCACGCTTCACCCTTCATTCTCACTCACGCTAATGTTTGTCGTTTCATGATCTAAAAGGTCGAAAGAAGGTGAATAATTGAGCGCTTAAATGTTTTTTAATTATTACACGGATCAATTGTTGCTCGGGGTATCTTCTTAAACTATATTTGGGTCAAAGGAGTGTTTATTTAATCGTTTCAACAAAATTCGAACGTGCCACCGGCCGGCGATGTTGTAACAAGGCCTAATTGACGGATAACCCCTCCGGGAACGAGTTGCACCAATCCATCTCGGAATTTTGCCTTGCCCTGAGGGAAACACCGCCAAGGATCCTCCTAAAGCTCAGTGCCGAATATATTTCCAATGACACTTTTTTAATCGTGGTTCCTTAAATTATTCTTGCAAAAATAACCTCGGTAGAGATTTTCATTTTTATCACATTCCACAAGTGCAAGCAAAGCAATACGACAATCGTAATAATTGGTGGGAAACCGCGTAAGGCCCTGTCATTCTTTTGCAAAGCCGGTTTCGCCCTTTGGAATATTTCAAGCGGATGACAGGTGGATTTAAAATTCACAAGGCGTAAAATTGTGTTCTGGTTGGGAGTCTGAGGGATCTCTCTGGCAAATTGAATCAGAGACAATCCAGACTTGTCGAAAAGGCGTTAATTCACTTGCCTTTCTCTTTCCCTTCCCCCAGTGCCTTCTCACGAATTTTTTGCCAAGGAGGAAACCGGTTTGGAAAAACTCATCCGGCGACAATTTTTAATTGTATTTATTTAGGTTCTATAAGCCATTTTAAGGGAGGGTTTTAGGCAAGTTGCTTTCCTCCGACTTCACCCCTTCGCCCGAGTCCATCTTACAAGTGTTTTGAGTGCGGTGTGTTTGTAAAATTTACATAAAGGACACTCCTCTCTTTTAAAAATACCCCTTTTGTCCTCAAAGTCACTTACATAAAATAAATTAAGGAGTTTTAAATGTAAATCCCACTCACCTAAATTCAGCTAACAAACTGTTTTCAATGAATTACTAATATTTTGAGATAGTTTTATTAATTAGCCTACACGAACAAAGTTTTTTAGTAGAAAAGCGAGGGCCAAATTCATAGAATAGTTACGAACCTTTAAGGAAATATATCGTTCGTAATACATTAAATTGACCCTTTCGACTTTTTTCCATCTAAAGTTATTTTTGAATGTAAATTATATTTTCGAGAAGAGTCGGCTACCCGTGCACTTTCCAGGG